GTAAATTCTTGGAGAAAAGAAAAATTCATCTGACTTTGACTCCGTTATAATCCAACTTTATATTAGGTTGCAGTGACTAACCAATTTTTTTAGAATTGCAAATTAAGTTAACTAGGACAGTAGTCACTACAGAAGGTGGCAAAAGGGAACCAAATAGTTAAGTCCTTAACAAAATTAATTGGGAAAAAATATATGTAATAATCCTGATGATCTAGAACCAAGATCTGTCTCTGAGATGTTCTTTCTTGACTACTGAATCTTCTTTTATACCTATTTCTTAACCTTTTTATCCCTGATGGCTTTAATTTCTATTTATAATTCCATTTCTTATGGAAGTTTCCTCAGCATACAAAAACTGGAACATCCTTTCTCCAACTCATACATTCCTAGTCTCCTTACTTTCCCCCATTCCTGTTGTACAGTAAGAAAGAGAAATGGGGAGGTGAGGGTTCTGTATTGCACTGGTTTGGAGTAGCCATGCAGATGACTTTCCCACTAATTCTACATGTACTTTTTCATAAAAACATTATCACACACATTAATATAGGCCTACATATGAGATACCTTATGGGCCATAGCTACATTGTAGTCTGGTCTTGGGTCCTAATCATCACATGAAGCATTTCATCTGGACTTCTTACTCCAGGGCTTTCAAATTTTGGCTATTGTTCACTGTCAGATTTGTCCAGAGATTCAAAATTATGTTTTCTCAAACACAGTTATCCTAATAAAATCTCCACACTAGAATAAGCTATTTTTTTCTTCCTTTGGTGATTGGGAGTGGGTGATTCAAAGAAGGAATGTATGAACCAAAGGGAAGCACCTACAAGACCTAAAACTGCTTAGGTTTCTTAGGGCCTCAGACAGACCACCTGATGGAAGATATTATTTCAATGGAAAATATTATAACCCCCCATAGTAGACAGAATAATGACTCCCCAAAGATATCCATGTCCTAATCCTCAGAACACATGATGGTACCTTATATGCAAAAGGAACTTTACAGATGTGACTAAGGATTTTGAACTGAGTATTTTATCCAGGTTTATTGAAGGGTATTCCCATAATGCAGCAAATCATTATAAAAAAGTATAGGAGGTCAGAGTCAATAGTAGAATATGAGATGATGGAGCTAGAATTGGGAGTGATACAAGGATGAGACAATGAGGAAGGAATGCTGATGGCCTCTAGATGCTGAAAAAGGCAAGGAATTCATTTCCTTGAAGTCTCCAGAAGGAACGAACCTCTTCTGACACTTTCCTTTTAGACTTTTTTATGTAAATTTTTTATTTATATATGACAACAATATATACATATATAGAGCCCAATTTTTCGTATCTTTGGTTGTATACATAGTATATTCACACCAATTCGTGTCTTCATACATGTACTTTGAATAGTAATGATCATCACATTCAACCATCATTAATTACCCCATGCCCTATCCCTTACCCTCCAACCCCTCTGCCCTATCTAGAGTTCATCTATTCCTCCCATGCTCCCCCTCCCTATCCCACTATGAATCAGCCTCCTTATATCAAAGAAAACATTCAGCATTTGTTTTTTTGGAATTGGCTAACTTCACTTAGCATCATCTTCCTAACTCCGGATGGAGTTACCTACAGTTACCTGCAAATGCCATGATTTTATTCTCTTTTAATGCTAAGTAATATTCCATTGTGTATATATGCCATATTTTTTTATCCATTCATCTGTTGAAAGGCATCTAGGTTGGTTCCACAGTTTAGCTATTGTGAATTGTGATGCTATAAAGATTGATGTGGCTGTGTCCTGTATAGTATGCTGTTTTTAAGTCCTTTAGGTATAGACTGAGGAGAGGGTTATTTTAGATTTCTGATACACATAACTGAAAGAAAATAATTTTGTATTGCTTAAAGCTATTAAGTTCATGATGATTTTTCATAACAGCAACAGGAAACTTAAATGCATACTGACTTCAAATAAACCATTGAATCTATATATGATGAATTGAATTTTTCAAAGATGATGCAAAAATCTCTCCCATTCTACACATTCATCTGAAATGTCTTTGGCCACCTCCTTATTAAGAAGTAGATTTCATCTCCCCACTCTTTACTCCTTGGGTGGACCCTAGGATGGCTTTGATCAATAGAATATAGTACAAGTGAGTACAATGCCCCTTAGTACAAGTGAGTACAATGACCTAGCAGTTTCTGCATTCTCCTTCTTAAAAGCTAGCCATCATGAAAGAAGTGCGACTTTGAGATCAGCATGCTAAAAGAGAGTCAACAATGAGGAGAGGCCCTGACACATGATATAGCACATGGAGAGAAAGTGCTGAGGAGCACAAGTTCTATGACACGAGTAAATAACCATCTTGGAAAGGCTTTTCACCCAGTTCCAACTGCCCTGACTGTCTCCATGTGCTGCAGAGCTTCCAAAAACAGCCTCTAAACCCCTTTTCAAATAGTTGATTCACAAATCATAAGCAAAATACTGATTATTTAAGCTCCTCATTTGGGAGATGATTTGTTGTTCAACAAAAGATAACCAAAGCACCATCTTGTGTAGTAAGTTGTTGACTATCTGAACAATGCCGTGATGTATAAAATGCCTTCAGTGGCTATTAGGAAGTATAGTTTGGGCACTAAATAATCCCTAGTTAAAGTCCCTAAGTGTTTTATTTTTGTTTTCTCAGCTATTTTTTCATAGTTTACTAGCAATAAATGTCAGGTTGCTATATTTAACTTCACAGAGTGGTAGTCAGAACAAAAGGAATGAAGTATGCCTGCTTTGTGATATTAAGCAATTATACAAATATTGTTTTAGTCTGTATGTAACATTAGACGTTAACTTCAGCAACCAGAAACACTAATTCCTGTTGACTTAATTATAACACCCATGATTCCCAGAAATGGTGATGCTTTATTGACAGAGTTACACCTGGACCCCTTTGAAAACAAAAGTTAAACAACAATGGAAATTTTGGCACAAAAATTTGTAAGTTAATCTAGCAGGACAGTGCAGCAAGATATAAATTAACTACCATGTCTTTTGGATTCCCTTAATGGTTTGTAATGAACACATCTTCAGTCATAATGAAATTAAAAATTCAAATGGCTGTCCAATAAGAGTGCTATCACTTGACATAGTGAAGGCTGGATATCTCAACCACAGCATGATGTGCCAAGTGTCAGAAATATCTTCCAGTCAGAAACTAAGAAATTAATTTCATACTACCTTGTGTAAGACAGGAAGCTAGAATGGGACATTCCAGATGTTTCCCAAGATTTTATTCGCTTTGCAAATTGGTCCAATAAAACTCCTTTTGAAGGAAGGATTCAAACAGTTTGAAGGACCAGTGAAGTGATTATGAATATAAATGAGGTCAAAAGGAGAACCTATACAGGTATGGGGATATGGTTAGTTTTTGGTAGAAGATATAAACCAGAAATTCAACAATCTGAGCAAAACCCAACTTATCTACACGACAAAAACAATTGTAATACAAGCAAAAAAGTCTTTTGAAAAAATGTTATCTCAGGTTTAAAATATCATAGGATAATGATGGAAAGATGCAGTTAGAAATCACCCAGCTGGCATAGGAATGTAGCAAGAATTGAATAGGAAGAACACATAGAAGCAGCAGTCTTGGTGATAATGAAGGAAGTTGATAATAAAGAAGCTGAGTTTGTGAGAGCTGATAGTCCTTTTAAATCATTCTGCAGACTTTCTATCTCTTCTGAACATCTTTCTCAAAGACTTAGAAAACCTATATTTATCAGCAGTGCTGTCTTAGGACTGGACTGACAGGAACCTTTTAAGAAAAATTTCATGGTCAGTGGATCCTGATCCTCAAAGTACCTAAAGGGAACATGTCAGTAAGATTTGTTTTCAAATATTCCTGAAAGCAGATCAGCATAAAAGAAATGCTCAGTGTCCTGGATTTCAACTTTAAACTGAATTAAATCATGATGTTAATAACATAAATTTTGAAATGGATTGTTTATCAAGTGAAAGAATGAGTTTGCATCTTCTTGTTAATAGGGTATTTGATGATATTCATTTAATACTAACAAAAGAGAAATTTCAGATGTTATGGAGGAATTGAACTAAATTACATCCATACGTCATACAATGTTTTGATGAATAGCTGAGAAAAAATGCATCAGCACAGAATAATCTCCCACAAGAAGCAAAAACAAATTTCTCAATCAGTAAACTTTGGTAATAAAAGCCTTGCTATAGGGTTGGGGCTGTAGCTCATGGTAGAGCGCTTACCTAGCATGCGTGAGGCACTGGGTTCGATCCTCAGCACCACATAAAAATTAACAGATAAAATAAAGGTATTCTGTCCATCTACAATTACAAAAAAAAATTTTTTTAAAACCTAGTTATAGAATTCTACCTCCCTGATTCAGCTTAAACAGTAGTAGTTCATCCCCTCAAGTGGAGAAGAGACATTAAGAATATGCCAGACCCATTTTCTTCAGTGGCAACTTGATTACTTTTTCACCTCTAATACTCCTCAATGAAGAACAACCAGAAGAACTTTGAATTTAAAAATGCATCCAAATATTTTTTCCCCATATTATACATGTTCTTATATATTCTTAGACCATTGACAATTTAGAGGTTATGCATTTGTGTTGGTTTTTATTCAACTAACTTATATAGTATCCTATAATGTTTTAATATTCAGTGTTCATCAAAGTATATTTTAGATATACATGAATCATGCAGCATAACAATGTACTGTGCCTTTCCTCTTGTTTAAATGTGGAAACTTAAAGCTAATATACTACTTAAATCTTATAAACAGTCTTTTGGTTTAATCAGTATGTTCTACTCAACTTTGACAGAAAAAAATTGATGAAAACATTTAAGGTTGATATTTTGAATACTAAATCTTGTGAATCCATAGAAGCATAAAATCTTACCTCTCAGAATAATTTCTACCATGATTGCAAATCAACTAAGTGTGGCTGCTCTAAGATTATATTTGTTTTTCTCTACAGCTTGTCTTGGCTCCTTCCGAGCTGGATTGTTCACTGCTGCACGTCAATCATCTAATGCTTACCCTGACCTAAGGAGCTGTATCAATGGTAAACACTCTACCATGGATTCCCAAAACAAAACAAAGCAAAATATAAACCCTGCAAGTAAAATATATCATGTTAATATAAACTGATGTTCAAAAATCAACAAATGAGCCCTCAAATAAGTTCTTGTTTAGTAAGGGCTAGGTCATTGACTTTAGGAATTTTATTCTTAGCAGCTTTAGTTTAGCTGTTGTTACATACACAATCATGTAGTATGGACCAAATGTCATAGTTGATTGATAGATCAAAGTAGTCATATTTATTCTATGAACTTTGGGACATCAGTATTATAAATGTGAAAAATGTTATGTGGATGAAATTAGCCTCTGAAATTTACTTAAAGCCTAGTGATAATTTTAATTGACAATATTTCTCTCATTTGCCAATTTTCCAACTGAGAGTCCAAGAGAAAAAATGCAAGATGTAAATTGGGAAGTTTTTCAGTGGATATTTTACTTGTAGCATTGGCATTAATCTAGATGTTTATTTTCATTTTCTCTAGTGTAAAGTGGTTGTCATTACGTAGGTTGAACAGTTTGCCTGATCACATGTATTTAGTTCATACTTCATCTTTTTTTCTTTTTTCTATTTATTAAAGGCTTGGAAAATAATAGTTTGATAACAAACTATTTATTATCATTAAACTAATATCTAATTTACTACTACTTTTCAAAATACCTTGGTTTTATGAGAATTTTTTAAAATTCTGGAATTAATTAGGTTTTAGTTAGATTGGTTAATTATGGATTTATAAACAGACATTTCACTCTGGCTAAGGGGAATGTATTGGGAAGAACTTGTACAAATAACTACAAAGAATTGACAAACAGGTGTTCAGATGTGTAGGAAACAAGCGATCATTGCACTGTCTAATGAAGGCAGAGAGAAAGAGACCCCAAATAAGTAAAGAAAGAAATGGGCACGTCATTTAAGATAGTGAAAATTTGCTATGATATTTTATGAAGAAAATATAAAACAGCACTATAATACTTTTTAATACATTTTTTGTCTTACAATTTTTAACATGTATTTTCGCTGCTAATATTTCTTATTCTAAAATCAACATTATCTTATGTTAACATAGTCACTGGGGTTATCTTTTGATTAATCTTTTCATGGTTTATTTTTCCATTCAGTAACTTTTAACTTATTATTGTGATAAAAGTAAAAATCTATTTTAAGTGAGTGTCTTTTGGCTCTTGCTATTTAATCTAATCTGACAGTCTGTCTTTTAGGGAAGTGTTAGACCACAGACCATTTATACTTTTAACATAACAGTCTGACTTTTTTAAGATTTCTTTTTGTCACTGGTTGTAATTTAAATTGAAATTGTATTTTTAAGTTTATTTGACTTGGGCTTTGTTGAGCTTCTTCGATCTTTGGGTTCATAGTTTTTCATCAAATTTGGAAAATTAATTTACCAAAGTTATTTATCAATATTTACTCTTTTTTTCCTTTTCCGTACCTCTCTCTTTTTCTCCTAGAACTTTAACAGCACATATGGTAGATCACTTGATGTTGGTTGACAAGTTACTGCTACTCTGGGTTTTGGGTTTTTATTGTTTTGTTTTTATTTGTTTTCATTTTGGATAATATCTGTGTCTTGAAATTTATTCTTCTTTTCTTCTGCTAAGTATAATTTACTTTTAATCTATCTCATTTATTTCTCATTTCATATATTGTACTTTACATGTCTCTAAGTCCTATATGACTCTATTATATAGCTTTATCATGCTTATGTTTACTACTAGAGCATATAGCATGCATTTATAATAGTTATATTGACTTATTTTTCTGCTTTTTATAATGTCTCTCATTCCTAGATATTTTTCATCAGTGAATTTTTCTTTCGATTGTAGGGTATATTTTCTTGTTTCTTTGAATGACTAGTAATTTTTGATTGTATATTGTACAGAACAAACTATACTATTCCCAGTAGCAATAGGAAAAGGGATTTGGGACTTCCAGTTAGGGTTAATATGGAGTAATAGGATCAGATTTACTCTTCTTCCTTAAATTAATAGAAGTGGTCAAATATGTGGAACAACAGGTTTTAGACATTGGACAACAAGGAGCAAGGTACCGTAATTGCCAAGAAAGAAGAAGTAAGTTCATGTTGTTTAGTTCTGGGTTCTGTTGTCTTGTTCCAAATAGTCTTTGATTTGGGTCTGACACTCAGCTAAGTAACTTAGAGTAAGTTAAAAAAAAATCTTTTGTGGCTTGATTTTAAGATTGATTAAGGCATCCTGGAAGAAGCCTTAAACATAACGCTAATTTAACCCTAATAAGAGGATTATCAACCTTGTGAGGTTTCTACCTGATTCCTTATATATATATATATGTCTTGAGATTTTAATGTCTGGCTAGTCTAAAATGAACCACATCTAACCCTATGTGAGCTCTGGAAATTGTCCTGTGCAAGTCATTATTCAGCTGAGGACCCTAGATCTCTAGAGTTAGTCTCTGCCCTTCTCTCTCCATGTATCCCCACTCTCAGTTCTTCTTTGACCTTCCCAAACTTTAGTATTTGTCTTCTCCATCTGGGGAGACCAGTGCTCTAATTGACTCCTGCACTGTTGCATGCAGACATCTCCAGACAGGAATATAGTTCTATTTTTTTAATTTACTTTCCCTTAGGAATCAGATTTCTGCAATTCTTGGAAACCATTATTTTATATATTTTGATGAGATTACTTATTGAAGGCATGAAGATAAACTAAGTCCTTTTATTCTATTGTGGCCCAATTAGGAAGTCCCAAGTTCTTTTTTCCCATTGCTACTGAGAGAGGTTTCTTTGGTCTGCTTTAGTCATGGAATTGTTTTTAGAATCAAAAAAGGCAATATGTTTTTTAAAAAAATCTACATTATAGTTATAAAATATTATATATACTTGCAATATGATAGTAGTGTTCTTTCATAAAATACTCAAATGTTTGTATAATGGACTCACTTTTTTTGAAAAAGCATTATTTGAAGGAAGGAGTCATATTTTTTCATTAGTTATAAGCTTCATATAAAAAATTCTATTGAAAGGCAAATTTATTTCACTATAGCATGAAATAAAAATTAAATAGGTCTCCATTTCCTTCAGCTATTCCAGACCAGTGCAATCCTCTGCCTTGTAATGAAGAAGGATATGAGAGCTGCAAAGATGGCCAAGCTGAATTCACTTGCATTTGCAAATCAGGCTGGCAAGGAGAAAAGTGTGATTTTGGTATGTATAATTTCCAATTTAGCTCATCTGATTTGGACACATGAAAAGTTCCCTACAGGTCATATTATTTGAAAAATAATTTATTTTTCCTTTGTAGATATAAATGAATGCAAAGATGCCTCAAATGTAAATGGTGGTTGCAGCCAGATTTGTGATAATACACCTGGAAGTTACCACTGTTCCTGTAGAAGTGGTTTTATATTGCTTTCAAATAAAAAAGACTGTAAAGGTAAGAATAAGAAAATAGAATAAAAATGTATTTACTGTGTAAGAACAACATTCAACTAGAGGAATTTCCTCAGGAAATTCTTGGAAAATGCTCTCATTGTGTTTATAGTATATATACAATTTTATCCACCTTGAAGCCTGGTGATACTATTGGATTACCTTTTAGTTTACAATACTGATAACAAGAATATTTTCATTTTCTCATTGTGTGGGTGCTCATGTATGTATGCATATTTCAATAATTTTATTATAAATCAAAATAGAAAAAATTTATTATAAAGTGAGCTTTCCAGGTAGATCTTTGCATGCTTCAGACTTTGTAAAAAGCATTTTGTATCCTTTGTTTTCAAATATTACCTAATATTACTCCCTTTATTTCAAAAAGATAAAAACTATAAAAAAAAGACTTCCACGACCATCCTTAATAACCTCTTTCATTGAATTTTATTATTCCTTTTCCAAATTTCTGAGATATAAACCAATGTAACTCTAAAGATTTCCAAAATAAACCCTTTATTTTGCACCTCATTTTGTATTTGTGGTTTTGGAAATGATGAAGATCTGGTTTTCTTTCTCTTTTCCTACTTAAGAGGACATTATTGTTCCTAAGTTTTTTTTTTTTTTCCTTCAGACTTACATGATCACTCTCAGTGTAGCTTTATAACAAGACATTTCACTACTATATTTGTTTTGTTTTCCCTGTTCCCCAAATTTTGACTTTTTTCTCTTGTATACTGTAACTTCCATTAAACTGCTCTAATTTGTGCTAGGTATGTGATTAAGTAAAACCAAAATTTCCCAGCCTGGAACCAGATTTTATCTGTAGAAACTAGAAACATTTAATACAATTTTTCCCTCTTCTTATTATGCTTTCTCTTTCTTCTTCTTTTTCTCCTCTTCCTCCTACTCTTCCTTCTTAGAATAAAAAATTTCAGTAAACTAAAATGTGAAGTTTTCTTGATCAACCCCCTATTCATATTGATTTTGGTAAATTCCTACATGGGATTCATGTTCAAGAAATGATTTGTCCATTACTGCATCATAGTATTTAGATTATCCAGTTTGCTATATTATTTAAAGTCTAGTTATATTACTCTGAAGTAAACTGTGTTTACTAACAATTTCTTCTAGACCATTATCCAATTTGTGAACATATATCTTTTCTGCCTAGATGAGAAAATTCAGGTAATTAGAATAATGGTCTCATTAGAAAACCATCATAATTTCTGGAAACCATGCTCATTGTATAAATAGGACCCACTCCTATTTTTACCTATAAATACTAGACTGTTCTTTTAAATAACTTGTGACTTTTTAAAATTAAAATGTATTTAATTCGTATCCACTGAATTAACACACACACACACATACACATACACACACACACAAACACACAGATACTTATAAAACCTCCTTTAAAAAATAAGAATGTCCCTGTTGACCAGAACATATGTTTTTATATTTTTCACTTACATAGTCCTTATCCCATGATACATTCATAATAGAGTACTGAGCTTTTAGAAAAATATGTATAAAACTATTTCAGTGGAACATTTGCCAAGATGTGGAAATGCTTGGGATCAAGTTGCCAGTAATTTCCTAAATGTGAAAAAATAAACCTTTTCAACAGGCATTAGATGTCAGTGTAAAATCATAAAAGCTGTGTATTATAACCTAAATTCAATTGATCTGTGTGTTTCCTTTCAGTAATACTCAAACAAAATAACTTGTATGTTTTTGCTTTTTTTAAAGATATGAAATTTTATTCTTCTTTAGAATTTTATTTAAAAGTAGTTAAAGTTTCACATTAAGTTGTAAGAAATAATAGAGATCACAGGTATCTTTTAGCCAATTTCTATCATTGGTAACATCTTTAAATATTATAGTACAATGTCACACTCAGAATATTGATATTGATACAGTCAAATATAGAAAAATTCCCTTACCACAAGGTATTGATTCCATTATTTTTGTGCAATTATTTTAAATAAAGTCTGAAGTTTTAGTTATTCTTCTTTGGAAAAAAAATCCTGACAATTTTTGGAATATAAAATACATTTTCAATTTTGAATTTGTCTTTCTCCAATGAGTACAGGTGAGAAAATTTCACTAATACTTTCATCTCCATCAGACTTTTTCTGTTACTTGTTTCATTTTCCTCCTAAGTAAAAACTTATCTAGTAACTAGTTACAGTCCATATTTTATCTCTTACTTTACCATGTAATATAATAAACGCATCTGAAATTTTTGGAATATTAATTTGACACTAAAATTTGTATTAGATTAACAGCAGCTTTATGAATACTTTGAGACCTCCTTCAATCCCATTTTATTTTATTTTTTATTTTTTTTCAATCCCATTTTAAATGTGATTCATTGTTGAATACTTCAGGCAACAATTATAGTGAACAGATTACATGTCTATTTCCCAAGAAGCTAAAACAGATAAGCAGTCTCATATTTTATATTTGTGATACTAAGAAATGAAGATACTTTCAAGACCATGTCTCAGAAACTTGTATTTAGACGTATCCATGAAAACTATTAAGAAATAGTTGAGTCTCTTATTGATTTATTTATTTTTATACCTTAACCTGGTAGGTAAGAAAATGACTAAATCCCTCTTTTTTTTTTTTAAGAGAGAGAGAGAGAGTGTGTGTGTTTTTTTTAATATTTATTTTTCAGTTTTCGGTAGACACAACATCTTTATTTTATTTTTATGTGGTGCTGAGGATTGAACCCAGTGCCCCGCACATGCCAGGTGAGCGTGTTACCGCTTGAGCCACATCCCCAGCCCAACTAAATCCCTCTTTATTTTTATGTAATGATAAAGAAACATGTCAAATATCAATCAAATTTCGTATGAATTTATATAAACAAATCATATTTAGTGAATTAAAATGTGATGATTGATTTAATATTTTGTTGTTCCAAAGTTAGTCTGTGATCTCATTGTATAAATTAGATTCAGGAAACACAAATTGAGGGTTGATTTTTCGGCATATTCTGCTATTGGAAAAATGTTTCTTATTTTTAATTTATTGTTTTAATTTATAGATGTGGATGAATGTTCCTTGAAGCCAAATGTTTGTGGCACAGCTGTGTGCAAGAACCTCCCAGGAGACTTTGAATGTGAATGCCCTGAAGGTTACAGATACAGTCCTAAATCAGCATCTTGTGAAGGTAGAATGGTGGTGGTATCAAGGCTGCTGGTGGAGAGGGTGGACTTGAATCCTGAGCTGATATTCAGTAGCATTGGTTTTATTTGACAGTAGCACTCCTATTATTTACTTTTTAATTTAGCTTGGTCAATTTGGTGATCATTGGCTTTCTTCCCAGAATAAAATTATCTAAGATGCATGGTCTTTAGTTTTAATATGATGTACTCTATTTGGCTCTTAAAACTACATATGAGTTGGAGACCTCCATGTACAATAAAAGCAAGATAAACATATTTTAACATCACTTAAATAATATTTGAAGATAAAAGAAAATTTCAGCCTGAAAGCAAAAACACATGTATACAAAAGAGAGACAGAAGTTTAAACTGCCTTTAAACAGTTGGATGATTTTTTCCATGAGACTGAAACAATGACACTGGTTAAAAACCTTAGGTTTTATTCCAAGCTTTCAGGCATATATAAGTCATTAATTCTAAGTGGAACATAATGTAGTTCTATTATCATAAATAAATGAGGCTCTAGCACGAGAAAGTTGAGAAATATTGATCAGTAATGTCATTGCCCATGGATTTGAGCTAGCCCCTGCGAGTTGCATCTCCTTCCTTGTCTGTACAGGTCTTGCCATGTGTGCCTTAGGTAGCTTAAATATATTAGAGGTTTTTTTTTAATTTTATCATGATAAACAAATAATTTCACACCTTCCTTCAAAATTTTTAAAATTTTAAGATGAATTTAATATCATGGATAAAACCGATAAAATAAAAAATAATTTTTCAATTGTGTAATGTACATATGTATATTGGGGGGAGGGAGCAAGTTCTCTCTCTCTCTCTCTCTCTCTCTATATATATATATATATAGTTAAAAAGAAATATTATATATAATATTATATTTATATCTATTATATATAAAGAAATATTATATATACTATTATATATAACGTTTATATATAATATTATATATAATATTTCTTTTTAACCACTTTTATGGGGGGATTGGAATTGAACCCAGGGGTGCTTTACCACAGAGCTACATCCCCATCCCCCCACCCCCCACACACATTTTTTTGAGATAGAGTGTGGCTAAATTGCTTAGGCCTTGCTTAAATTGCTAAAGCTGGCCTCAAACTTGTTATCTTTCTGCCTCAGTATCTCAAATTGCTGGGATTTACAGGCATGCACCACGGTACCCAGCTCCTTGTAACCATTTTTAAGTTTTTATTTCAGTGACATTAGTTACATTCACACTGTTGTGCACTCGTCACCACTGTTTCCAAAATGTTTTTATCACTTCAAACATAAATTTTGTAATATTGAACAAAAAGATCCCTCTTATTAGTTACCTAAATAAATAATAATTTTAGAATAGACTTTTTTCAACAAATATGCTTCTCTTAAAATTTCAGTGTCCTACCTCCTCATGTACTCACTCACCAAAACACCCCCATCCTTACATACACCATTCTTATGCTTCACTTCAGATGATAATTACTATGGTACACCCTAGGAATTTGAAGGTTTATTTTTAGCCTACTTCAACACCTATATAGTTGCATTAGTCGATGAATGAGAGACATTTTCTTAAAAGGAATGATTTGTAAATAACTATTCATATATGTAAAGTTAATCATATAATACACAATTAGAGGGAGCACTTATTTTGTGGATCCACTGTGAAGCCTTTTTTGAGAACTTAAATGATACACTGAATTTGAGAATTTTGTACCCAATGAAAATATTAAGGATTTTTATGTAGCCAGCCTTGAAGTGAACTTTAGTTTCAGCACAATATTACAAATTTCAACAATGATTTTTTCCAAAATGTCACTGAGGTTAGGGACAAGACCAAAAACCACACAATATGTGAGATAATATCATAGCAATGTTAATTTTTTAAAAAGATAAGAAGAAATAAAGGTATGTGCTTAAATGTATTGCTCCCATTAATTATTATGAGTAGTCAAATGTTCTTGATACTGTCATTTAATCCCCATTGCTTTAATGTGCAGTTAGTTAAAAGGCATTTTTTCTTTTTTTACTGTTCCCTCTTCTGTCTTTCCTTTGCTTCCCTATCTTCACCTCCATTCCCTTTCTTCTCCTTTCTTTTCTTCAAAGCAAAGAATTGGGAGCTAATCTCAAGATCATTCATATAGTCAGATAAGACAGTTGAGACCCTCAATAATTTTTTTCTTCAAATTCAAAATCAGGAAATTGGTATAATTGTTACACTATTATTAGTTTACTAATTACTAGATTTGTTGTTTCAAGTGCACAAGTGAACCTTACACTTATAACTCATTTAAATTTCCAGACCTAGTGTTTTAAGACTTGATGTCATAGGAATTTCTTTCTCTAAAGATCTGTTGTCATTGATTATCTCAAACTAAAATCTGCCTGTTGGATTGGTCATTTAGGAAATAGTAAGGTTTGTGTTCTTTTTTTACCCTAGATATAGATGAATGCTCTGAGAACATGTGTGCTCAACTTTGTGTCAATTACCCTGGCAGCTACTCTTGCTATTGTGATGGGAAGAAAGGATTCAAACTTGCCCAAGATCAGAAGAGTTGTGAGGTAAACATTTACAATGCTAAACTTCTTACCTCTTTACTAAAATGAGAGAGCCAAGCACTTGTTTCCATATAACTGAGGTAAGTCAGCAAAATACAGATGTTCAGTAATAATTGTAGATCTAAGCAGGCTGTAAGTCACAATCTGTTAGCTCAATGTGATCATGTAAGTCATAAAAATTGGGAATAATTAGTGGCTACATTAAAAAAGGGGCACTTAGAGTGTAGCCTGTGCATTTACAAAATTCAAACTATATGCATACTTAAGAAACTAAGAAAAGCTAAGATTAGTACTTTTTATATGAAGAAATATCCTGCATAAAAATTTTAGTGAAAACATTTTCTAATGTCTACCTTTCTGAGTTCTACTCTGGCAAGTTTGATCATGCTTAAGGTGTCTTAGTACTTGTAAGAGTGATCTTAAACTTTCAGTTCAGAATAGGATTTAGTAGGATTTACATACGTCAAATTTTAGAGCCTAATTTTGTTAATCTGTGTCTCTCAAACTTGCTTTTAGTCGTTCAGATTTAATGCATAATTGACCCAGGAATTGAATTTTCAGGTAGGTTTTAGTTTTTCCTTTATTGAAATAAACAGGCCAACATCCAAAACTCTTTTTATTTTCCTAAGTAAGGATTGTATGTTAGTGATCCTTTCAATCTTAGCACCATTTTTTTAAACATGCAAAGGTTTTATATATACATATATATGGCAGACTATTTTAAATTCCCAAATAAGGAGTATATACATATACCTCTTTATATATTGCCAAGTCAAGGATTATATGTCCAGAAAAGCATAACATTCAATATCATGCTACCTACTTGGTAAAGAAAAATAAGGTAAGCTAGTTGCCAAATGTAGTAACTTCGGTATTACTTTATTAAAATGTCATGCTGTGTGAATGTTTTATTTTGTAACTTAGTTGCTTATTATTTCAATATTTGCTTTAGTTACATATCACCATCTGTCTTGAAATAGAGGAAATGAAATGTTATTTCTGGTCTGTATTTAACAGAGGGCTATGTTTGCAGTTTTCCTCAAAATATCCTTTATATGTGTCCAAGAACTTATCCTAAGGAAATTTTCCATTTTAGCATTTGTTTTCATTCTTCGAAAACAAGTACTTGGTAAGACATGTGATAACTCTAAATCACTTTCTTGTGACTTCCTTGGGGACTAAGATGATACCTCATGTTTATTCTCTCCAGGCTTTTCAATATTTCCCTTTACTGTCTAGATAGCACGTTCTTGCTCAGAATGCGTTTGCTTAAAAAATTAATGAGTGAATGAATGAGATGCTGTTTGTTGGTACATTCATTGTTCCACCTATGTTCAACTCTAAATAAAAATAATCTTCAGATTTAGTTCATGAAGGCATCATACCTAACAGTTAATTGAAGAGGTACATGTTGGTACTTAAAGAAAGAGATTGTGTTTAACCCTGAGATTTGCAAAGGAAATATCAAAGAGAGAAATCTAAAGTTACAAACATTGAATAATTCAAACTTGAACAAGATCACATAGATTCTTGGAGGGTATATTGAAGAAAGTGAAAGATACTGCTTTATTATTACCAAAGGTATTTTTAATTTAAGTGTATAACAGGATACATTAGGAACCTGAGAAAAGACACACAACCTGCATAAACTCCAACCTGCATAAACATTAGGAACCTGAGAAAAGACACACAACCTGCATAAACTCCAAGGAAGATTTATGCATTTTTTGTTGTTGTTGTTGTTGTTTGTTTGTTTCTTTTCTTCTAGGCAGTTCCAGTTTGCCTGCCCCTAAACCTTGACAAAAATTATGAATTGCTTTATTTGGCAGAGCATTTTGCAGGGGTTGTCTTATATTTAAAATTTCGTTTGCCAGAAACCACCAGGTAAGGAACCAATGCCATCAATAATTTCTAGAAGTTATGCAGATAAGGAAAGAAGAATAATAAATGGAAAGGTCTGAAATGCATAGAATTATATTGTCAATGAGATAAATTAGGTGTGTTATCAATCAGATGATTTGGGAAACCTAAAAATAATTTGCTCCTTCATACATGTAACTTTTACACTAAAACTATTTTGAACTGTTTTCCAGTACTTATTTTACTTTATCCCATCATTCTTCACTTTATAATGAATTTATTTAATGTACTTGTGAAATTTTCACTTTTCTCTATACATGTTCTGAAAACTAGATAAAGGGAACATACTCAAGTATTTTTTAGAACATCAATATATGCAGCACTTTGTTGAATGCATGTTTAGAATTTATTAGTTATATGAATTTTTTCATCTCTTCCTTTGATAATTCAACTTCACAGAATTCTTGTTATTAAAGAAAACTGAAAATTATTCTCTGATTCATTTATGTAATTGTGTTCCTTTAATGTTCCATTTCATGAAAGTCTCAAAATAAATAACATCTTCTTTTCTTTTGGGGAGGTGTAGTATATTCTTCTTTTTAAATTAACTTATTTCTTTTTTCTAATTTGTTATACATGACAGCAGAATAGATTTCAATTCATAGTACACAAATGGAGCAGTTTTTCATTTCTCTGGTTGTACACAAAATAGAGTCACGCCATTTGTGTCATCATACATGTACCTAGGGTACATAAATCCATCTCATTTCACTCTTTCCTAACCCCTTGTCCTCTCCCATCCCCTTCCTCCCCTTTGCCCTGTCCAAAGTTCCTCCATTCTTCCCATGCTTCCCCCGATCCCCATTGTGGATCAGCATCCACTTATCAGGGAAAACATTCAGCCTTTGGTTTTTTGGGGATTGGCTTACTTCACTTGGCATGATATTCTCCAACTCCATTAATTTACCTGCAAATGCCATGATTTTATTCTCTTTTATTGCTGAGTAATATTTCATTGTGTACATATACCACAGTTTCTTTATCATTCATCTATTCAAGGTCATCTAGGTTGGTTCCACAGTTTAGCTATTGTGAATTGAGCTGCTATAAACATTGATGTGGCTGTGTCACTATAGTATGCTCATTTTTAAGTCCTTTGGGTATAGACCGAGGAATAGAGGAGTCAAAGGGTGGTTCCATTCCAAGTTTTCTAAAGAATCTCCATACTGCTTTCCATAGTGGTTATACCAATTTGCAGTCCACCAGCAATATATCAGTGTGCCTTTTCCCCAAAATCCTTGCCAACACTTATAGTTGCTTATATTCTTAATAACTGCCATTCCAACTGAGTGAGATGAAATCTTAGAGTAGTTTGATTTGCATTTCTATAATTGCTAGAGATGTTGAACATTTTTTCATATATTTGTTGATTGATTGTATATCTTCTTCTGAGAAGTGTCTGTTCAGTTCCTTAGCCCATTTATTCATTGGGATATTTGTTTTTTTGGTATAAAGTTTTTTGAGTTAAAGTCTTTATATATCCTGGAGATTAGTGCTCTATCAGATGTGTGTGTGGTTATCAAGGCACCAAAAATAAACATTGAAGAAGAGAGAGCCTCTTCAACAAATGGTGCTAGGAAAACTGGAAATCTATATGCAGCAAAATGAAATTTAGCCTCTATCTCTCACCATACACAAAACTCAACGCCAAGTGGATCAAAGACCTAGGAATTAGACCAGAGACTCTGTGCCTAATAGAAGAAAAAGTAGGCCCAAATCTTCATCATGTCAGATAAGGCCCTTACTTCCTTAAGAAGACTCCTAAAGCACAAGAAATAAAATCAAGAATTAATAAATGGGATGGATTCAAACTGAAAAGCTTCTTATCAGCAAAAGAAACAATCAGTGAAGTGAATAGAGAGCCTACGGAATGTGAGCAAATTCTTAGCACATGCAAATAATGTCTTTTAATAAGGTGGATTAGATACAACCCTTCCTTGCTATGAGAATAATGAGAATGAGAGAGAAATTCCTGATTACAGTATATCTTTAGACAATTATGGGCATATTCATTTCTCTTTGGCAATTTACAATTTTGTATGATCCCTTACATCGGACCAGAACTGGCCAACTAATTATTTTTCCAGTATCTATTTGTTTCTTTATTATTTTTTAGTTTATACTTTTTGAAGTCTAATATATATGTAGAAATGTGCAAATATATTAAATGTGTAGCTTGATGAATTTTTATCAAGTGCCACCTGTGTAACTAACACAAAGAACTGCTAGTGCTTTTTTTAAATATTTATTTTTTAGCTATAGGTGGATGCAATATCTTTATTTTATTTTTATGTGGTGCTTAGGATCGAACCCAGTGCCTCATTCATGGTAGGTGAGCGCTTTACCTCTGAGCCACAGCCTCAGCCCCACAGCTAGTGCTTTTTAAAAGCAAATTCCTGCACAACTGTTTTTTTTTTCACATCTGTTTTTATGTAGACAAATATTTGCCTTACCCAATGTTAACAAATTTACTTTTTTTCCATTCAATAGTACTTTTGAAACTGAATGAATTGTTCCCCAATGTAATGAATCAGTATGCTGATGATGTATTCCAGAAACAAAATATTCTGAACACAACTCTTTGAAATACCATTCTAGTACAATTTTATAAAGAAAAGGAAATTATCTTCATAATAGGATCAACTTCTGGAAGATCCTAACCATACACAGATTTAGATTTTGACAAGATAATCCATGTTTCACATCAGTAAAATGCTCAGATCATTATGAAAAAGGATTGAAGTTCTTGTTTCAAGTAAAATGGTTCTTTTTAAATGTGAACTCATGTCAGTAAATTCCCACTCATTATTATCCATCCAACATACTTTACTCCACATTTTACCTCTTTACAGTATTTACTTGGAATTCTAATGATGGAAAAGTTTATTTTGTCACTCTTTGATTGTTACCTTTGAGGAAGGTCTGTGCCCCATTACAAATACTACCTCTATTACCATTACTATTACATGTTGGGATGAGGATGTAGAATTCCTTGTTCATCCAGTAATTATCAAAAGTCTGGACTCTTTAATTTAAATTACTTTTCTTTTATCCTAGATAATTAATAGGTATGCAGCTATTTTTCTTTCCCCATGTTTGTCTTTTTAAAATCATTTTGATTATCTGATTCCTTGGAAATTATTAATGCTAATTCTCATTAAAGTGTTCCAAGGGCACTGAATCAACACATTTTATTTTAAATCAAGCATTCTTAAGATTTTCTTTCCTTATAATGTCTGTACTATATCCACATCCCAAGTCTTAATAGCAATAGGCATTGCCAGAACTCAGAACGTTCATCACATGGTGAGACTATATTTGCTAAGCTTTCCTTCCATGTGTTCTACTGCAGCTACTGCAGTGATTTACACATTGGTTTTTTGAGAGATTTTGAAATCAAGCTAACACATTTTAAAGTGTTTTTGTTTTGTTTTCTGTAAAAGTCTCATTAATTACTGGCAGGGTTGGGGAGAGTCCAGATTGTCTTGGGAGCTGCTTTCCCCATTGCTGCCAGGGCATTGCTCAACTCCTCTTGCTTCCTTTTGGCAAGAATGTGAGTCCCTATCCTTTTTTTGATGAACTCACACCTCTGTGATCATTTCCCACAGACACTTATTGTGTTTGGTGAGGCATCCATGATAGTGGCTGTGTATTAGCTTATTCACATTCTTGGTCACCTTGTCCTTATTGAGGCTATGGCCATGGGGTATGGAAGAACCACCACTGCCTTTCTTCAATGGCTGCTGTCTGAAGTTTTTGTTTGTTTTTTGTTTTTTTCCATCTTTATTACACACAAAGGCTTAATTATATTTGCAGTCATCCAGATGCTATCCTGTAGAGCTCTGTGATTCTTTCTTGAAATATATGAAATCACAGGCAAAACATGCTTTCGATATTACACCAATCACAAAATTGTAACATCTTTCACTAATCACTTAGGGATATAGTAAGCAGGCACGCATGCAGTTTTAAACACACACACACACACACACACACACACACATACAACCTTTAACCTCAGAATGTATTGTGTATAAAAGGCTCCAGGATAGATACAATATGCCTAAGTTCTATACTTTTATATTCATTACAGCATTTGAAAGAGGCCTTCAAAACATATACCAAAAAAGAAAAAGAAAAATTACCAAAGCATCTATCTGTTCACTGAGACAAAACCTCCAATAATAAGCAAGAAAATGTAGTAACCAGATTTTATATACATGAAGCCAAACACAACATATGAACTGTCTAATTCTGACTTTTTAAAAATTAATTCCAGGGCTGGGATTGTGGCTTAGCGGTAGGGCACTCATCTAGCACATACAAGGCCCTGGGTTCGATCCTCAGCACCACATAAAAATAAATAAACAAAATAAATGTATGTATCCAACTACTTCTAAAATATAAATATTAAAAAATTAATTCCAGGGAATAAAATAAGTAGTTGAATCTTACAGCATGTTACTATTTGCAAGCACAAGGAAAAATAAAAATGATGATACTTTAACCTTCCATATTTCTCACCATTAAGAATCTCTCTTTGGCCATTGTTTAGATTTTCAGCTGAATTTGATTTCCGGACATATGATGCAGAAGGTGTGATACTGTTTGCAGAATCTCTCGATCACTCAGCTTGGCTCCTGATTGCACTTCGTGATGGAAAGATTGAAATCCAATTTAAGAATGAGCACACAGCCAAAGTCACAACTGGAGGCAATATTATTAATAATGGTATATGGAATATGGTAGGTTTTACAGACTTTCCACTTTGATGCAGTCTGAATGAAATCATAATTTGTATTTATAGTGATAGCAAAAAAATGTGTTACATGAGTTATTTTCTACACTCTATACATCCTTGGAACAGGATGTATTGAAAATTATATTTTCACTTAATATACTTAAGGTTTCCTCTAACTAAAATTGTTTCAGTTACTTGTTTGAACTACCTGATTTTTAGTCTTTTTAGTGGCTGTCATTGGGTGAACAGTGGTGTCTCTCCTGTTATGTTAACAGGCATAACAGTTTATGCATAGACACCACTAATCAAGAATAGCTACCCTTAATTGCCACAGATAATTTTTAAAATAAGAGAAATACACTGTAACAAAAATCAAAAAGTTAATTCAACTTAAATAAAAACTTATAGATATGTAATCAATTTGTTCAAACAGTATACAATAGTGGATACAAGCAGAGTACCTAAAGATATCATTTTAATATAATCTCCAGAATGGCCTTTATTTTTATAATTGAGATCATCTCTTTAATCAACTGGATTTTTTTTTTAAAGGGGATCTTTATGTTTTTATTTATTTATTTATTTTTTATTTTTAAATTTTTATTATTGGTTGTTCAAAACATTACATAATTCTTGACATATTATATTTCATACATTTGATTCAAGTGGGTTATGAACTCCCATTTTTACCCCGTATACAGATTGCAGAATCACATCCGTTACACATCCACTGTTTTACATATTGCCATACTAGTGTCTGATGTGTTCTGCTGCCTTTCCTATTCTCTACTATCCACCCCCCCCTCCCCTCCCATCTTCTCTCTCTACCCCATCTACTGTAATTCATTTCTCCCCCTTGTTTTTTTTTCCCTTTCCCCTCACTTCCTCTTATATGTAATTTTGTATAACAATGAGGGTCCCTTCCATTTCCATGCAATTTCCCTTCTCTCTCCCTTTCCCTCCCACCTCTCGTCCCTGTTTAATGTTAATCTTATTCTCATGCTCTTCCTCCCTGCTCTGTTCTTAGTTGTTCTCCTTATATCAAAGAAGACATTTGGCATTTGTTTTTCAGGGATTGGCTAGCTTCACTTAGCATAATCTGCTCTAATGCCATCCATTTCCCTGCAAATTCCATGATTTTGTCATTTTTTAGTGCAGAGTAATACTCCATTGTGTATAAATGCCACATTTTGTAACTACTGAAATACAGCTAATAGTTTTCAAAGCTTGCTTCTATACATAGAATAGTGTGAAAGCTACAAATGAAGATTTATACTGGGGTATTATGTTACCAACTTGAATACCATAAGTGCATAGATGGTTTTGTTATCAGTAATACTAATTTTCCAAAATGGTGAGAAACTTGATAAAGATCTAAATAAAAAAAAACATTACTATTGTTGGTTGACAGGATTATTGCATTCTTTAAAAAAAGAATGTTAACATGTTGCAACAAATGTGTTTAGTTCAGATAATAATAAACATTAGGATTCCCTACATGAATATTTAATGGAGATGTTCAGAAGATTTACAAGATTCTGGGTATTTTGTTACTTAATTTGCATAATTATTCTGTATATTGCATAGTGCCTAGAACCTTGTAATGCCAGCTTGTCTCCTACTTGTTGTGACAAGTAAAAGTTCTCCTCATCCCCCAAATTTTCCAAATGTTGTAGACTGGGTCCCATAGAATCTCATTTAAATTACTTGCATGATTAGATGGAAAAGGTCTGGGGACTCAAGCCTAGAGCTTTTTACTAGAAGTTAAGAGGAAGGGGATCCAGCCAGGGGGACTGAGAAGGAATGGCAAGAATGTAGGAGAAGGAAAGGAAACTCAGGTCCTAAAGGCTGAGGACCTGAGTCAAGCACTTCTTTGAAGAAGGGAATAGTCATTAGAGGAAAATGCTGCTGTTTGGACATATTAAGGACAGAATATTGACCAACTTTAAGCATGTAATGTTACTAAATTAGTTTTACTTTTGAGAGTAGTATTTCTCTTCCTGTAGTGGTGTTTAATACGTCTATCAGTTGGCTTCTGTTATTGATTAGCAAGTGAACAGTTTACATCCTGAATGTTAAACAGTTTTACATGAGACAACTGCATCATTGTTCTTCAAATTATCTTCCTAAGAGAATTTTTTATTGTTTACTGTCACTTCCAACCATTTCTTAAAACCCAAGTACTTTCAAAATTATAAAATCTCATTTTAATTTTATGTATGTGCTTTCTTATAACTTTAGTCACCTCTGAATTTTGGAGAAAAAGTATGTTGGGTGTTTTGAACACACTACTGGAAAAATGATTCTCTTAGTGTATGTGTGTGTGTATGTGTGTGTGTGTGTGTGTGTGTGTGTGTATGCTCTCTTAGTCTATAGCATGGATGGTGGAAGGAGACCCTCATCATTATACAAAATACATGTATGAAGATGTGGGGAAAAAAAGAAATTATTTGCATTGTTGTTTCAATGTGTACTATCCTAAAATTGCAAAATGAGAACATTCAAAATTTTCCTAAAATACAGTGGCTTGCTTTTATTTTAAAAATTTAATTTTATGACATATTAGTTTTAACAATATATATTATAACTGAATGTTTAAACTTAGTAATATTGATTTTTTTAACTTGAAAATAAGATGTACATTTAATTTTTGATCAAGTACTATTACTTTAAAACACATTTTGTCATATTAATCATGATTCGACTTTCCAAATGGATTGGAACAAATTAATAATTACATTAAAATAAGTACTTAAAATTTTTTTTGGAATAATAAGATTTTAAGTCTAGTATTTCAAATGACATGTAGCAATGCTTGCTTGTTTAATGATTTTTTTGTTTTTAATTGTAGGTGTCTGTGGAAGAATTAGAACACAGCATCAGTATTAAAATAGCTAAAGAAGCTGTGATGAATATAAATAAGCCAGGGTCCCTTTTTAAACCTACAAATGGATTTCGGGAAACCAAAATATACTTTGCAGGATTACCTCGGAAAGTAGAAAATGCACTCATTAAACCGGTAATAATCCAAACTTATGTCATTTACCATGGATGAATTCCTTTTGTCTATAATAGGTTTGAAGATTTGTTTCCCCAAAAGTCAACAGAAGTTATTTTATTAAATAAACTAAGTGTGACAACTTGAATTGAATATGAAAAAAATAATATTAGTGACTCTTGAAATTAAGGGAATAAGGAAATAAGAAAACGATTGGTGTGTTTTTAGATTGTTGTGGGGGGTTTTTTTGCCCATATAAGTCCCCAGAATTACTCATGGAGAAGTAGATTTTTTAAAATCCTCAAATGTCAATTCTCTATTAACATCATAATAGTCCATACTCAGCTATTAAAAAATTTTTTTTTTAAAAAAAACATATTTGGTCCAAAGACTATTCATGTGAAAAATGTCTCAAAAAGAAAAATTGAGATTAAATTCAAAATATTTAAAATACTTTAAAAATCAAGAAAAAGTTTTTCATCTAAATGAAACCTATACCTTGAATCAATATATTTATGTCTGACTTTAATTTAAAATGTACTTCTGACCTGTATTTTGATTTGTTAGATTAACCCTCGTCTAGATGGATGTATAAGAGGCTGGAATTTGATGAATCAAGGAGCTTTAGGAGTAAAGGAGATCATTCAAGAAAAACAAAATAAACATTGCTTTGTCACTGTGGAGAAGGGTTCCTACTATCCTGGTTCTGGAGTTGCTCAATTTAACATAGACTATAGTAAGTGATTTTTCATTTTATTTCTCTTTTCTCATTGGTAACTAAATTTATTCATTGACAGACAACCATAATTTATTCAGTAAACTTTCTTGAGTACTATGTGTCAGGCATAGACTTATTTGTACTGTTATATACTTAATTTTCTGGAATATTAATACATATATAAAGGCAGTTGAATATGCTTATATTATTATTTACAGTTTATTGGCATATACCCTGATTAATTTTGGGTAGATTTGATTGATGTATCTTAAAGTTCAGATTTTTCTGTTGTTTTGAGTCTTCAATTAGTTAATCAAAGGGATTCATCTTCATTTCTAACATTTCCATTTGATAATTCCTTAAAATACTGAAATTGTCAATCTGTCCATACACATTGTCTAGCTTGTCCACCCAAACTTTCAACACATTCACCACAATTATTTAAAATTCCCTAATAGTTTCAACATCTATGTCATAGCTGAGTCTGGCATGTTTACTATTGTGTCTCTTGATTGACTGTTGCATTTCCCATGTCTTGGTGTATTATGTAGTTTTTTAGCATAGATAAGGTGGGCATTTTACAGAGCACTGTAGAGACTGAGGTAAATGCTACATATATCTAGAAATGAGCACACCTCTTCTTTTGAAAGCCCTTTATGGAGAGATTGAATCTAGTGATGAGTAGAATCAGATGAGTTAGTTCTCAAGGAATGGTTTTTAACAAAAGAGGAAAACTGGCCCTCCACTTCTCTGGGCTCATATCTTCTCATGAGCTTTTGCCCCTTCTCACACACTCTGCTTCCTTGATGTCATTTGCATTGAAGCCCTCACCAATGCTGGCATCATCCTATTTGGATTTTCAACCTCTAAAACTGTGTACCCAACAAACTATCTTCAGGTATTTTTTAATAGCAACAGAAAATGTGCTAATACAATTGAGCTTCTGCAAAAGGTAGGGGGTAGGTTGCTAAAAATATTTTCATGACTGACCAGTTATTAAGTTTTTCATAGTAGTGACTCAATTTTAGATATTTGCTTTATTATATGTTTCAAGAAATATCTCTTCATGGTCTTGCTCACCACCAGCAGAATGTTCGTACTTGTTTCTTGAAATTTGTTAACATGGTTTAAAGGGCTTGGAAGTCAGTGGAATATTGTCTATTGTTCTGAAACAGATTCAGTTTTAATTATCTTTATATCCTAGGGTGTCAGTGGTATGGACTTTTCATTGCTTCCCCTACCAGTAAGATAAGTGTCTAATGGTTAGTACTTAAAATGTTTTCCTGTTCCATATCCATGGTAGGTTTCCTTGGTTTGTTTTTCCCTAATCTGTAGGTGCTATGGGTCTTTATATGTATTCTAATGACAATATTTTTTTTTTTCCTTTTCCCCAGTGCTTTAAAACTCTTCCTGTGTAGAGGAAACATAGAAAGCTCTAGATTGTGATTTTGTACCTTTCCTGAAGTTAACATTGATCTCAAGGTTGTGCTAGGGGAAGGCTTTCTTTAGCTTCTTTCCCTGCCCCCCCCCTTTTTTTTGAGGACCCAGTAAGGTCCATGGAAAAGAGTCTAAGGATGGGGTATCAATTTTCCTTTTGTCTGCAGTTCTTAGAATTTCCATTCTCTCACATCATTCCATGCATGTACTTTATTATTTTGCAACTTTTTAAATTATTCTTACCCAATTGTGTGGTATCCAGTGTCTTTCTGGGTAAGAATTTGTTCTCATCTCTCCTTGGATGCATCTTTCTTTATGTTTTGATTATTTGGTTGCTCTGCAACTTCAACTTTTTGTTAGTTCAAGAAAAAATGTGATCATACAGATAATTTGTTTTTTGTTATTATTGAAGTGGGAATAGTGCCCTTTCAAGTTTCTATAGCCTAAATGGAGCATGTTGGTTTCCCAGACTGACTCATATTTACCTTTACAAATAAAACTTCTGTGAACATCCATGAGCATACATCCTATAATCTTTATGTGGTTAATTCTGTAGGAAAGCATCTTAGATATCATCATCAAAGGTCATGCAAATATATAATTATCATAGGTTTAATTACATTCTCTTCCAAAAATCTTTATATTAATTAATATGTTTACCAAAATAAGGAGAAAGTTTTTACTTGGAATCTGTTCCAATCTAACCGTTCAAAAAATGATTTTTTTGTGTTATTTTAAATATTGTTTTTCTAATTTGTACTGATGATGAATATTTCTCCATGTTTATTACTATTTGTACATTTTATTTTTTTGATTGTCTTTTTCTTTGTTAAGGGTTTATTATTATAGCTACTATCCCTTTGCACTATAAATTAAGTAAGGTAATATCTTAATATCACTGTTTAAAAAATATAATCTGAGTGTTTATTTGTAACTTAAAAATATTTACCAATGATTTGTTTTCCTAATGTAAATTGAGACAATGCCTTTAACTTTAGCTTTGTTTTGCATGTACAAAATTTTCAAAAAATGTTTTGAATGGGTTGATGAATGAATATGGGGGGGGGGGGGATCCTGATAAGCAAATGAAAATAAGAGTTATGGCATACCTGAAAAAAATTACCTTTATAAAAAATTAGTTATTTCATGGATAACTTGGAAAGTACCTACTTTATAATTAATATTTAATTTTACATTATAAATTTTGTGTATTTCAATATTAATTTTATTTTGAGTTTGTTATTACTATCCCTTGCTGAATTTTACTTATTTCATGATAATTATATATGTATTCTCTTCTGGATGGAAATTATAAGATTATTTCATTAAATACAGTGGCCTTATAATTATAAGATTATTTCATTAAATACAGTGGCATTGCATGTGGCTAAATGGGAGAACATCTTGACAAAGGAAAATTATTTTTCTGTTCATATTCACCCCCTTTCAAGGGCACTAAGTAATTTGTTTTAGCAATTCAACTGCAGTTCTCAATGTTAGTTAAGGTTGCTATTTCTGGAGCTTAATGGCTGGGATATCTTCTGTGAAGTGCATTATTATGTGCTTTTGTCATCGTGTGAACATTGTAGAATGTATTTACACAAACTGTACTGGCTACTATATCATCAGCTGATATAATTTTATGGGACCATCATTCTATGTGTGGCCTGTTATTGACTGAACTGTCCTTATGTAATTGTTACTGTACTTTGGAAACATATTAACTCAACAAATATTTATTGATATTCTACTCTGGAAAACAAAGTAATTATAGAGCTATGTACCTCCTGGAGCTTGCCCTTCACTCTGATGAACAATTAACCTGGTAATTAAGAAAAAATGATGAAGTATGATAACAGAGGAATCAGAGAACAGGAGTTTCTCTTCTAATTTCATTAACTTTTGATTTCACAGTATTTCTCTATCAAACCATGTACCTCCCCCATGTGTGTAGAGTCATATTTGTCCTTTCCAGTGTTCTAGAAGGAGGACTATTGGTGATTATGGCAGCTAGACCCAAGTTTTCTGGCAGAAATATTCCAATGCATCTTCAGAACATCCTTCTAAATGTGCACTTTAAAACATGACCACTCTGAAATTTGAACATTGGTGAATATGCAAGAAAGAAGGAAGAGCTGCTAAGGAGTCAGTAGGGAAAACTCATAAAAGATCTTAACACCACAATCTGGATTTTCTTCTAGGACAAATAGAAAAATGGGGCTCCACTGGTGTGTTTCTGATCTGTGTTTAAAAAAACTTTTATTTTACCTATTTTAGATAGTTCATTGAGAAAGGAAATTATACCTGTAGTATTACACAAACCATCCTTGAATATTAATAATTTTATAATAGATTTTCTCTGGTGCACTTTAGGAGTACATTGATCTGGCTTCTGTTTCATTGTTTTAAGCAGATAACATAACCAATGCTGAAGACTGGCAAGTGAATGTGACCTTGAATATCCGCCCATCCACAGGCACTGGTGTCATGCTTGCCTTAGTTTCTGATAACACAGTGCCCTTTGCCTTGTCCTTAGTGGACTCCAGCTCTGGAAATTCTCAGGTAACTTTACTCTAAACCAGTATGAGCCTTGTTTTTGTCTGTGTGCTTTTAAATGAATATAATGATATTTATGTTGAAGGGCTATTTTGAAGATTAAATGACATATAAAGTGATTGGTATAATCACTCTTTGTTGGCTTATTTCTCAGATCTCAAATGAGAAGTAAGAGAAGGGGAGACTCAAAAGCCTGTTATGTCTATAGCTAAGATTAGGCAGACTCATGGGCTGATTAGAGCCATCACAGAGTATGTACAGATCCATCTTTATTCAGAATCCTTGAAGCATGTGGGAATTATCCTATACTAATAAAATAGAAATGAGTCTGATAACAATCCACTCTTAGATATTCAATGCATAATTATGATGATTTGTGCTTTCTTGCACTCTGAATCTTTTCTCGCATGAGTAAATTAGAAAAGATGAGAGAAAACTAAGACAGGTTCACTTGACTACTTGCTGTCAATTCTTATCTGAAATCAGGAGGAAGAAAAGGAAAGTCTTGGATACAAGGAAACATGAAAGTTAGAAGAAGATCTATACTATTCAAGCTTCTATTAGAGGCTAATAGTTCTGTCTGTGTGCCATACACTGTTGATTCCAACAAATTTCAGCAGGCAACTTACGTTTATGATAAAATTGGTTTGAATGTTATTAGTAGCTTTTGAAAAAGACACATAATTCAATAATGCTACAGCAATGGAAAAAAAGGTGGTTCTGTTGCAACTGGAAAGATGATTTGGAGGGCATTTCTGGTGGTTAAATTAAGCAAGCTGAAGCGTTCTTGTTGGGATTTTTTTTTTTAATGTCTAGCCTACAAAGAACATTAGGGTTTTAGTTTTTTATTTGCTTCTTTATTTGTTTTTGTAAACAAAATAGAATTCTTTAGCACTACATTTATGCAATGGAGGATGTTAATGCATGCCATTTCTTTTATATTTATTTTATTCTGAATTGGTCTCCATGGTTCCTCCTTCTCAAGATTTATGTGCAATATTTCATAAGAGTATTATACATATCATTAATGATTTTGAAGCATTATTACTTTTTTAAAATTTTTAATTGGTGCATTATAATTATACATATTTGTGGGATTCATTGTACCATATTCATACATGTACATAACATAATTTGATCAAACTTATTTCCTAATACCTTCCCTTTCCCTCTCCTCTCCTCTTCCTGGCCTCCTTGACTCACTTGTTCTATTCTATGAACTCTCTTATAGTATTATGATTATTTCAATGAGTGCACTATAATTATATATAATTATGCATATAATTATTATGTATATGTATATAATTATGTCATATATTAGTAATGGACATAGCCTAATTTGGTAGTTTTTGTTCCCTAGCATTCCCCCATGCTCCCTTCTTCCTTCCCTCTGGATTCCTCTCTTCTCTCTATTAGTTTTCACCTATGTTCCCCGTCTTTATTCCCTTTTTTTTATTTATCCTGTCACATAAGGAGCATTATCTCAAGTGAAAGTCTCTTTTAATGAATTTAACGATATGGACATTTGAAACACAGACTTTTGTAACAGATTTCTTCAAAGGACCTGTATTTGTGAAGTATAGAATTTTTTACCTAAAATAAATATTTCCTAAAGAAACATTTCAGGCTTATCTTTTACTACTTGGAAAGCTTGAGAACATTTGTCTTCCTTCAGTTTTATTTTCTCTCTCCTACTTTTTATATTTCTTTTGTCCCACTCTAAGCTACCTGCATAGATCACTCTCCACAAGTTGAGTGATTTGGTTATAGCAACAGAAAAGTTTATAGCAAAATGCATACATTTCTTTTTTGGAGAATCTTCTAGTTCTTCTAGTCAGTACTCTGAAACTTCCTGCAGGTTACCTGTGGGTATGTACTTCTTAGGGCCTTTTTACTTACTTTACATGCAGATCTATAATTTCTTGTATGACACAAACAACCCTTTGTTTTGCTGTTATGTACTTACAAAAGCACTTAAAATTTTCCTAGTCTCTTCAACTCATTCTTTTTCATATGTGTGTTTTTAAGTTAGAAAGGCTCACAAAGATATTGCTTAAAATACTACTTTAGATTCCTTTCATTGGTAGAAACAATTCTGTTAGTTTGTGGAATTTTCAGAAGCTAGTGTATATTTACAACTTAGCTAAGCCTGAATTTTGTAAAGTTAATATATATATTTTTAAATCATGATTATTATAATAATAATTTTCACTTAAATTTAGAATACATTATTTTTTAACCACTGAAATTCAGTTTTTGAATTTCAAAACTCAAAAGCCTCATAAGTGGCATTACTATTAGTACTTGCTTATATTGTGTCTTCTCTGTTCTTCAGGATATTATAGTATCTATTGAAAATGTGGTGGTATCTCGAATAGACGCTGTAAATCTATGTTCTAGTCAACAATCTCGCCTGGATTTCAAAGTCAATAGAAACAATTTGGAGGTGTGGACTCCACTTGAAACATATATCATCTACTCTCCAGACTTTAAAAGTCAACTTGCCATCCTGGACAAAGCAATGAAAGGAACAGTGGCTACTTACGTGGGTGGTATTCCAGGTATCTGATTACTTTTTTGTCAGTTTTAAAAATTCTATTTTTATTTCAGCTGATGCTACATTAAGTATAGAATTTTAGTAAAAAAGCATTGGGAGGGACAGCAAAATTCCAGTATTCAATATTCTTCTCCTGGCTGCTTGTACCAATGTTTTATTGATACATTTTTGTTTGATTATTTTTTAATGGTGAACAGTTTCAGTTTCAACAATTTTTTTACTCCATTTGACTATTATAGCTAGAAACGATATATCATTTCATTTCATCCACATAATAGTGTTGTAAGTTCAATAATTATTCTTCTATTTATTGTTTATCTAACATTTATTCACTCATACTTAGTTTTTCCATCATTTATCCATTATTTATTTTTTTTTAAAGAAAGAGTGAGAAAGAGGGAGAAAGAGGGAGAGAGAGAGAGAGAGAATTTTAATATTTATTTTTTAGTATTTGGCGGACACAACATCTTTGTCTGTATGTGGTGCTGAGGATCGAACCCGGGCCGCACGCATGCCAGGCGAGCGTGCTACCGCTTGAGCCACATCCCCAGCCCCTATCCATTATTTATTAAGAACATGTATCCCAGGTACTGGGAATAAAGTAAAAACAAATATATATTAAGGCTTTTGCAATCTAGTGGCAGAAACAGACATTAAACAACTGATTGAGAACATACCAATATAATTAAAATTGTGATCCCTTCTCTGAAGAAAAAGTATGGGTTTCTTTTAGAGTTTGAAAATGAGGTCTTGATTTGGTTATGAAATTAAGGAACAGTGTCTCTGAATAAGAGACTCACTGAATGTAAATGGAATATTTGAAGGATTAAATGAATTTATCCAGATGATAGGGATGAGGATCCATGTGTGGGCAAAGTGGGAAGGTGTTAATATCTTGAGAAATACACAGATCTGTATAAGTATTGCATATTGAGCAAGGGAGATCGTATTGCAGGATGAGGCTATGAACTGGGCAGACAGGTAGAAGGCTTGTGCATACTTTATTCAGGGTCTTATATATAATGCATTAGAATCATTAAAATGTTTTAGACAAGGAAGGGATATATCAGTATTGTGACTTAAAAATTTCTCTTTAGATGAATAAATGGGAGGCAAAAGTGCCTACAACTGAGATGAGTTGGAGGCTATTGAGTAGTCCAGATGAAGAAGCAGTAATTATTGCAGAAGTAACCACACTACTATTTACTGGTGCAAAAAAAACCACTCTAAATACTGTTCAGAGTGCTTCAAATGTATTGACTTACTTAATTTTCAAAATAGTCAATGAGGTGGGAACTAGTTTCCCTATTTTACAGATTGGGAAGCTGAGGAAGCTGATGGGCTATAGTGATGTCAGTGGGGGATAGCATACAGTGAATAGAGATTTAAGCAAGAAATAAAATTAATTGGATTGAATGATTGAAAGACAGGTATAAGAATAACTTAGGTTTCTGAAATGAACAGTTGCATGGTAGTGACTCCATTTAGCAAAACTGGAAAAACGGGTTTATTTTGACTTAATATGAGAAAAAACAAAATTAGTACTAATGTTTTACTTTAAATGATAAAAAGAGGTGCTTTCTTTAGAAGCATTTTTCAGTACTATTTGCAGATTATTTTCATGGGAAAATTCTGAGTTTGATGTCTGAACTTCTAGTAACCTTCTTTGTACTGCTTTACATGTTCAGGGTCTTAATTTTGCATATATGAAATTTTATCTGAGGTTTTAAGGAACAGAAGTAAATGAGCTCCAAAACTTATAGGTAGGTAGGTAGGCAGACAGGTAGGTGGGAAGGAAGGAAGAAAGGGAGGGAGGAAGAAAGAAAGATAGATTGTATTAGGGTTTTCTAAGGAAGGAAGGCAGGAAGGAAGAAAGATTGTATTAGGGTTCTCTAGAGGAATAGAACCAAAAGAATATGTGTACATGTGATTATAAAAGGGGATTTATTAGATTGGCTTACATAGTCATAAGTTGGATAGACCCACAATGGCCATCTGCACTCTGAAGAACCAGAGGAACCAGTAGCTGCACACTCCAAAGAGCTGAATTCTCAGAACAGTAAGGACAAAATTGTAGCCCCAATTTAGAGACTCCCTGAAGAATCACTGGTGAGAGTTCATGTTGGAAGAGTGAAGGAGCTGGAGTCCAATGTCCTGGGGTGATGACAACAGCAACAGATGCACCCACTGAAAAAGAATCCAGTTTGCATCTGCTGAGGCTTCCTTTTGTCTTTTGTTTCACCTGGCCCCCAACCTATTTCAGGGTGGGTTCTCCACTTCAGTTTGCTGTCCTACATGCCAATCGTACTGAAAATATCCTCAGAAGCACATCTAGATGTCTCTTGATTCTACATATCTCTCAATCTAATCAGATTGACAATCTAGATTAACCACCATAGTTAGCTAGATGTAGTTTAATTAACATGGTTAATTGTTAGGAAGCATAATTGCAGATAATATGAATGAATTCTATATAGGAAACTACCTGCACTCTTATTCACAAAGTAGCTGAATATAATTTTAAGAAATTGAACAAACAAGAAATTTAAAAGATGTAAAAATACTACAATTTCAGTGTCTTTGCAATAACACTAAGGACTCACTTCAATGATTAAGTATTGAAAGAAAGAAACAAGAAAAATTGAGGAAAACTGAAAATGAAGATATTAAGAGTATAAACTATGAGATGGCTAAATTATTGATATACAAAATAGACATTAAATTGAATGTTAATTTAAATTCAGTGGAAAATGATAATTCTGAGGATTTTTTAAAATAATGTTTTATTTGTAATTGGTGCAGAATAATTATATGTACTATAGGGGTAAGAGGTTTTTTTTTAAATAGAGAATAATCAATGATGTTGAGCCAGATTTGAAAGGGATTCTTAAAATATCCTGTGGATGTATAGAAAAGCATGGATTTTATGCACTATGGCAAATTATAGGTAGAAAATTTGAATTTTTTGGTGAAAGATATTGAGAAAGAAGTATAAGAGATACTGAATATCCACAGTGATATTTAAAATTCATGAAGAAGACATGACAAATAAAAGAGGAAACAAAGAGTGAAATGCTTTTAAAGTTCTTGGGAATCCATGGGTGTTACTTGAGTATTAAGTATTTAGTTTGATGGAGATAATGAAGTATACAAAGGCCCTGAGGTGAACCTAAACTATGCATTGAGAAATTAGTAAAACTGCTTAAAACAATATCATTATTACATGAAAGTGAATCTTCTATTATGACCTGCTTTTGTATGCTTAAGAAACTAGTTCTTTGGAAAATATAAAAATCTGCATTATTTTTTATTTTTCATATTTTGTACCTGCAATTGAACCCAGGGATACATAACCACTAAGCCACATCCCCAGCTCTCTTTTAAATTTTATTTTGAGACAGTGTCTCACTGAGTTGCTGAGACTGGCCTTGAACTTAAGATCCTCCTGCCTCAGCCTCCTAAGACATTGGGATTAAAAGCATGCACCACTGTGCCTGGCTAGAATTCTATTTTTGTCACAACAATAATTTTAAAAAAGGATTATCATGGTATGTAAAAAAGATTGGATATTTGGATGGAACTAATTGTGTTTATAAAATTGTAGGAACTCATGATATGCTGAATTCCATGTCAAATGTAATTATATATATATATATATATATATATATATATGAAATAATATATATTATCATGTAAAATCATTATTAATTTCTCCTTTAGGATTAGAATTTAGTTGAAAATGGAAAGTATGAATAGTTATTCTAACTGTAAGCAAATAAGATATAGAAAGTCTTGGACTAATAGCTGAATATTCTGTTTTTACAGATGTACCTTTCAATGCCACACCAGTGAACGCCTTTTATAATGGCTGCATGGAAGTGAAAATCAATGGTGTAGAATTGGATCTGGATGAAGCCATTTCTAAACATAATGATATTAGAGCTCACTCATGTCCATCAATTTGGAAAACATGAAGAATTCTTAAAACATCTTTTCTTTGCTGATAATGTATCTCTTTTCCAAGTATAATTATACTTAAGTCTCTATAACAACTGGCGTGTTTTATCTATGATGTGCAGTCTTTTGATTATTTTGTGGTACTTTGACCTTTTTGGAATTTTTAAAAGGTCTTTTTTTCAAGAATAATTCTGTTGTGATGTAAGTCACATTACAAAATTCTTCTGTTGCTGTCTAGAAATTAAATAATGAGACAAAAATTTTAAATTTTAATTTTTTGCTACACATGACATTGCTTCACTTTTTGTAAGAGTAAAAGTCAATTTTATCATCATTGAACTAGTGTTTAAATATCCATTTTTCTCAGAAGGCAAAGCAGTAAACTCAAACAAAACACATGTGATTAAATACCATTCACAATAGGCAGCTACTATATTTTTTTGTTTCTTTTTCTTGAAGAAGAGGGAAGGGATAGTGGCTTATTGAGTGTGAATCAAATGGAAAGTCTTCAAACTTTATTCTAAAATAATTTCTCAGGGGAAGCTGTGGCTTCATCTTTCTCTTACCTGGATTCACATTTGAACCAGAATCTACGGATTTGAAAATCAAGAGGGACAAATTTTCATGAGAGCAGCACATGAATCTTCCTTCTTGGGGACTGGGTTCTGAAGATGACACATTAGATTACATTGGAATTGGTGTGCAAATCTGGGATGGGTAGGTACATTCCTTAAATTTGGCTGAATAAGTTATACAAGCTCTAGATTAGAAAAGACAGAAATATTTAGTCTTGAAAAGGAGAATAAATACATGTAGAAATTTATAGTTTCTCTTCAGGTCAACTCTTCATTACCATAATAATTTGTTTAAGTGTGATTGTTGAGGGGAAAAAAACCTATGAAAGCTAGGACATATTTTTAACAAAAGGATAACCACAGAACAATATAGTAAATATCGTATCTTTGTAATTAAAGAAGGAAAGGTAAGATTGCCACATACTTGGTGGGAATGCATTTCAAGAAACAATTTTTTTTCACTCCTGAACCTATTATTCGTGTTGGATGTATATCAGATGTTTCATTGACATTTTAGAAAATAAATTGTTTTTCACTATTTTACATCACCTAAAATAATAAATTGATGTACATTTTTTAAAATATGCATGAAGAATATCTTTATTCTAAAATTCTTTGAACAAAACAAAATTATACATTATACATCCAACTTTTCATGAAGCACAGTAGATCTTTAGTTGAATGACAGGTAAAGTTCAAATATTTGATGAATAGTGATGATTAGTTGTGGAGCTCAGAAAGGAAAGAAAAGCAAAAGTAACAATGGGTGTCTGACATCACAGAAATTATACAAGATCTTACTGGGAGAATTTTTTCTCCCTATTAGCACTGTATACTATGTGTGATGGATATATTGACAAGTGACTATTGATAATTATATTAGTATAAAAAAGCAAGGAAGGGTAAAAACTGAGGGAAATATGAGAAAAAGAAAAAAGAGCAGAAGAAAGTAAAAAATGTATTTCCTCTCTGGTAGAGTTCTCTGCTTCTCATTTCATAAGGCTCATACAAGTACAACTACAGGGATTAATTTCAATATCTGCTTCACATCAGAAGCAGAAAACTTCCTGCATACAATGATGTTCATAGGAGATCCAAAGAAATGTTTACAAATTTCATCTATTTTGAGATGCATTCACATATGGCTAGAGATAGGGAGGCTCTACTTCAACTAAGAATCTTTTATTTGATCATTGATCATGATCATTGCCAAGAAATATAAATTTACACTTTTAAATACTTGGTAGAAAAAAGTGATTTCTTGGCAGTCAACTGGGATGGATACAAGGTGCAATTTCAGTTTTGTGTAGTGGAAAACCCACGATGTGTGTGTGTGTGTATGTGTGTGTATATATATATTACATATATATATATATATATATTTACATGCAGCAGTGCTGAGAATTGAACCCAGTGCCTCACACATGCTAGGCAAGCATTCTACCACTGAGCTACAACCCCAGCCCCAGAAAACGTACTGTTACAGAGTCTTAGAACTTACTGTTTGCCAGGATAGTGGATCAGTAAAAGCAATGGTTAATAGGTGAGAAGAGAGTCTTTCACTTCAGTTCTCATCTGAAATTATAATTCCATGCTCAATTCTCCAAAGTATTTCCAATCATCTTTTCCCTTTATGATTATGGAACTGGTGTGTTACTAGAGAGAGAACTTTTTGTGTGTGTAAAAAAGTTTATTTTGTTTTGTTTCTTTTTTTTTTCCACAAAAAGAATTTCCTTAATTCTTGACCTGCTCTGTGGTCACTAGGAGCTGAACCCATATAGAAGAAGACTATAGTGTTTGAAATAATTTTGTATTAGATTTCTCATATTCTGTTAATGTAAAACTGGAACAGAGGACCATCTTCTAGACCTATTCTCTAGGGATGCTAGTTCACTCAGAAACAAATATTTAGCAAGCACCTACTCTATGAAAAGATAGTAGAAGTTCTGAAGGGCTAAACCCTAATGAATAGGAAATGACAATACCCAAGTCAGCCCTCAGAAATGTATAAGTTTTTGTTCTTTGAAGTTACAAAGCAGCTTTTGTCAGTTTGACCTACAAAACTGAAGCAATAAAACTTTTGTTCATTGCCCCTATATAAGAATAGGTTGTTCCTTATTAAGAAATAAAGGACCATGATCTCTTTTTTTAACAAAGTTGGTGTTATTTTATTTGGATCTTTATTTTGTTCACACACGCTAGGCAAGCATTCTACCGCTGAACCATAACTCCAGCCCAAGGATTGTGATCTTTAACATAGGTTACCTGCTTCAAACTTTCTGAAAACTTTTGAAAATTGAATCTTCTCCTATAGAAGAGGCAGTGCTTAAGGGCTCATCCAGTGATAAATGGAGGTTCTGCTAGCCTCTGGCTGTCTTATGTTCATGTTTTCAGTGTATAAACCTAAAGGGCAGTTACCTGGGCCAGGATCCTATGAAGTTTTTTTGATGCTATTATTATAAACAATGCAGAACTAGATATTACTAAGTCAAATCATAGTGGGAAATTTTAAAACAAAATGTGAAGTTAAGACTTTCAGAAATAAATGGAACCGAACATAGGGAGATTTGGAACAAGTAGCAGATGAATGAGACTGAGCAGAATTTTCTGAGCCATAGTTCACTTCTTCACTGTTTTGGACTTGCCATTTTGTAGCATCTCGCTTATCTTGTAGATAACAATAATATCCTGTGAACTTACCAACCTATTTGCCACAAAAAAAACCCTCTCCAAAGATAATCCTACTTCCATGGAAAAGAAATAGTATAATAAAATTTTAAATTTACTAGTGCCAATGCCACTAAGTTATCTTTCCTGCTAAATTTTCAAACCATGGGATCTGAACTCTTATTCCATAGCTGAGGTTTCCATTGTCCTCAGTTGGGAAAACCACTTGGTACATCAGATCCTTCCTCACATTTACTTGAAGACATGGAAGAGTGCGCCAACCGTCAGAGGAAGAATCTTATATTATTATCTGGAAGTTCCCAAACAATAAATATAAAAAATTTAATTTAAATAAAGTCATATTGAAGACTGGAGCTGATGATAAAGCATCCAATTATGTGTGCCTTCTTGAGCCAACTCAGCATGTACAGAGTGGCACAGTGGATGAACAACCATGGTCTTAGCTTGCCTTGTATGTGTACTCTCAAGTTGTATAACTGAGATTCAAAGCCAGGATGTCTGGCTCAAGAGTCCAGGCCCCAAATTTGAAACTTTACTCTGTTTCTATATTTTTTACAAGTTTTCCCAGCAGTTAGTAAATGGTATTGTTGAAGTGAACAATTCCAACAAATCCAACAATTTTTGGATAGTACTAATTCTATATCCAACTCTATATAATTGTTATTAAATCCATTGATAATATTATCATTTAATGATATAGAAAAGAAATGTGATATTGTTTAATTAAATTGTGCAGATGCTGACACTGATTCTCACTTATGTAATTACATCTCTGAGCTAGATACTAATCTTGGAGAACAATGCAGAAAATGTTCCAGTCCAACTGTTACTATATCAAAGTCTAGGCAACAGTAGGCAATACAGATATGTAATCCAAATATGAGCCTGAGTTTGATAAGAGCTGTGAGAGAGAAATAAACATTTACAGGAAATTCTGGGGAGGATAAAATGAATTCCAAAAAGAAGCTTGATGAGGTGTTGTTTAAATTAGGTCCAAAAAGACAAAGTTAATTTCTACTAGTTTTCAAACTAGTAGTTTTTCAGCATTCAAGTCTTCTCTTTCCAACCATTCCCACAATGCTTTTGGATTATCTCCCTCACTCAACTTACTGCACATTTTTTAAATCAGAATTCTCCTTTGCTATCCAATTGTGTGTAAAGCACAAATAACTAACCCTCCCTTTCAAGGGGTTTTGTCATTAAGTCAGTAGATCTCAACCCAGGCTTCTTATTAGATTCACTGAACCCATCACAGATAAGTAAATCTGAAGATTCTCATGAAAAACTAGAGTTACAAACCACAGATTGATCTTCTATGGATATCTCTTTACTCCATGCACTCTCCTTCTTCTTCTCCTGGAACCAGATTATAATACAGAGAAATCATCTCCGTGTGACCTCCTTGATTGATGCAGAGCAACCCATTTCCTCTTTGATGCATCAGTTTTGGATTTTCAAGAAGCAAATGCAAAGAGGGGATTAGACAGTTGGTATATATTGAAAAATTACTTGCATAATGATATGGACTCTTTCTGGTGATAGGACCATGAAGAACTATGTGGGATGATGTTAGGGACCATTCAACCAAACTTCAATGTGTGGAGACTTGTGAGAACACTTCTCATTACCTTCCTTTCCTTGGGCTGAACTTTTTGGATATGCAATGAAGAAAACTCAGTTTAATCGTTAGTTTTAAATTCTTGCTTGCTTCATAATTATCCCAGTTCTCCCATTTAGATAACCTTGTAGTTGCAATAACTGTGGAGGTATTGGGAAGGCAATACTAATCTATTCAACAATTATTTGTGAATCACATACAATAAGGCAAACACTACAGTTCTGGGCATTTGGGCTTCGTGACTGAACAAAACACAAGTATGCATTTGGCTATATTAAAAAGTGCTCATGACTGGGCGTGGTGGTGCACTCCTGTAATCCCAGGTGGCTTGGGAGGCTGAGGCCAGAGGATTTCGAGTTCAAAGCCAGCCTCAACAACTTAATGAGGGCCTAAGCAACTCAGTGACACCCTGTCTTTAAATAAAATACAAAAAAGGGCTGGGAATGTGGCTCAGTGTT